GATTGCTCTGTTTGTGCCCCGGCACAAACAGAGCAATCTCTCAGACTGAAGAAGCTCTCAGACTGAAGAAGTCTCTTGGAAGAGAGACGAAACTTTTCATTAAAGAAGAACCCGTCCAGAAGACCTATACAATTTTTTTTCCTTTTGATTTTTTACCTGGATTACTGAGATGCATCAGGATATTTTTAAACAGTTATTTAAATTGTTCAAGCTCATGTCATTTAGTAACGTTTATTCTAAATATTTGATCATTTAATGAGCTACATTTATCACGGAACAGTTCTGTCACAGTGGTTCTAAATATAAACAAGCAGTGAAGAATGAAAGTTGTAAACTTATGCTAAACTACAGAAACACTTGAAACACGCTCACCTGGAGAACAGGGTGCTGTTCTCCTGGCGAGGATGAGGAGGTAAACGTTAAACGGAGATTCATCTTTGCTTTGATATGGGGCAAACAAATGTTCGTCTGTAAACAGTGAATCTGACTCACAGCGTGCACGTGCCGCAGTGCACCAGGCAGTCTCGTGCTCGGTTCGCTCAGAATGCGTGCATCCTCGCCAGCGATGGAGGGTTTTGTATTTGATGCTTACTTGTAGTAAAATAGGACATGTGGCAAAACACTTTATAACTTGTGAAATGTTGTAGGATAGGAGAGCAAAAACATGACGGATGAACAAACTGAATGTTGCGTGCCGCCTTTGCACGAGGAGCTTGGTCACGCATGCAAAGTTGGACATATGTTGGACAACGGTGCTCTGAGCACAAATATTTAATATAAAGTTAAGTTTATAGACCAAAGTCCAAGGAGTGAAATGAGGAAGGAGAGGTTTCCCTTACTCAGGACTGACCGCTCGGCGCTGCTCCTGCAGACTGCTCACCTGCTGGCTTCTGACCTTCCCCGCCCTGCTCTTCTCTGGTTGGATAAAAGTGTTCTGGGGTTTGTTTCATTTGTTGAAASTAGTGGCGCGTTTAGGGGTAAACTGGGCGGCTTTRACAAGACCGCAACAGAAAACAACTAGAGTTGTTTTTTTTCCCTCCTCCCTTACAGATGACGGAAATCCATCATGGCGAYGGAGAACTTTAWGCCCKCATCTTGGTATTTATTTAAAATATGTCATTTATATTTTCTTTTAAACTGATGAATGTTTGTAGTTTTGCTCAAGTTCAAAGTGTTACGCAAATTTTCCCTCGAAGTTTAAACAAAACAAACTTTGCAAAGTTTAAATTAATGAGTTTTCTCCTCTCAAATCACATTTCCCCAGGACAGAAATAAATATTTCTACAAGTAAAACACATCCTTACTTCATCACTAGGGAAAGCCAGTATTCCTGGTGCACCATGGTCGGTGAAGTACACAAACACATGATCATTGGGACCGCTGCCAAAAAAAAAGAAAATAGGTTATGAGGAACCAAACCTGATAAACCAGATGGATTGGTTTTGCTGGAGTAATCTCTTTAAGACAATCGTTTGTTTTTCTCTTGTTTATCACTTGCCTTTTCAATACCTTTCCATTACCACCTTTAACACTTGAAGAATCTCCTTTCAGAACCGCCAAGAAGTTCTGAGGGGTCACATCCTACAGAAATAGTAACARGCAATCAGAAAGTTATCCTCTTCTAAAACAACAGGTACACATAATTTTACAGCTGGGGTTTGAGTTTTAAACAAAACATTCTCCTGAAATACGTACTTCCTCGGTATAGTCTTTAGGCACTCCTTTGTACACATCTGAACCATTTGGCTGGTTGATTATTATACCAGGGGTGGGGTTTCTGAAAATAAAAACGTGATTCAGATTCAAAAAGGGAAGTGTAAATGGCTGACAAAATACCTTATTCATCTGACAAGGAAACAGATGCTTGATGACTCAGCAGCAGATGACAGAGCCAGTAAAACAATGAGGTATTTTCTACGCTTCAGTGGCAGAAYTGCTTTCAGTAACTCAAAGTGTCCAAAGAAATTCAAGGTAAGTAATCTGTCCTCGCTACAAAGATTTCTTTACCAGAATAGAAACAAWCAAAACCAAACAAACAATGACTAAGGTTACCAAGAACTAGAGAAACTACATTTTCTTCAACAAGACAGAGTGGTGGCTGAGTGCTGAGACTGCTCAAGAATTTAAACTGAGTTGTTAAAGATGAAAAAAGCAAAAACACTCAATAAAAGTAAAAAAAAAGCTAAGCTAAATGCTAGCTAAAAAGGCAAAAACACTAGCTAAAAACTCAAGTAGAAACAATATAGCTGATAGAAGGCTAACTAATGGCTAAAAGCAGCAACAAGCTAGTTAGCAATGAGCTAAAATGTAGCAGAACAACAGATAACAACTAAAGGCAGTAGAAAATATGCAGGTTGTTAGAATGTTTTGTGACTGTTGACCCAAAAATGAGCTTCCATGTTTTCCCTGAAGCCACTGCTTTAAGATCTGATARAACACCCAGCTGTGCTTTTATTTGCAAAAATAGTTATTTATTAACCACAGACACTACAGATCCTGACGACCTCATACGTGTCAACCTCTTCGGACGTTTACCTGTATAAAGAGCCTCAAAAGTCTGTAAATTTTTTAAATCATCCTACAGGCTCTGACATGTTAGATAAATTTGAAAATGAGGTTTTGAAAAAATCTGTAAGACTTGAAAAAATCTGTGCGATTGCTCTATACATCCGTATAACTGCAAAATGATGTAAAATCCTTAACTTACGGACAATCTGTACAAGTTGACATGTGTGCTACCATTTAGAGCTGAGGATAACAAGTGCTGCCTATCATGACAATGATCAAAAACATGTCAATACATGTTTTAGTACAACCTCAAACCTAGAAAAACTGCTCTGTATAGAATAGGACTGGTTCAAATACTAAACCTACTTTTTTATTTATCATAAAGTGTAAAATAGAACATTGTTAAAAGTAAGAAGATAAGTTTCAATTATAAATGGGTCATGTGACAGAAAAACGGAAGATTTGTTGGTAACTAAATATTCAGGTTTTAGGATAGTGTAGTTGTTAGTCTATTAACACCTATGTTTCAACATGTTTGATTCAACATAAGCTCAGGATTTCCCCTAGGAATTTTTTTTAACCGTGGTGGTGTGGTG